TTATTTATTTTTCCGTTCTTTTATTTATAGATAAGTCACTTTTAATTACTTTATCAGAATTAAGTATAAGTAGTTAAATTATTGGTATTATTTTGATAAGAAATAAATTTTTTAGTTTATCTTTTTTTCACAGTAATTTATCCTTTCTAAATATCTCATTTTTAAACGTATTTTCTCTTTTATATATAGCATTTCACTCTGCTCATAAGAAATTGCTGGAAGAGTAAAATTTTGGAAAAAAAAGTAATTAATAGTCTATCTTCTCGTGTGACGTACTCCCTCAAGTTCCTATTACATGATACCACTTTCTAGAATGATTGTTTGATCATTAATACAAGGCACATTGATGGTTATTTATTATTAATTTTTAATTTTACCTCTGCTGTAAAATTACTGTTATAGCTTATCATATATTATATATTTCTCCTTTCTTATTTTTAACAAATATAACGTTAAAAATGTTTTTATTTTAAAACATATTCAATGAGTTAATTTTATTTGTTGGTTACAATAAAATAATTGAAATCGCCTTTTATATGTGTGGAGGATTACCTTACAAAATCTGTGTGTGTGTGTGTGTTTTTTTTTTTTAAAAAAAAAAAAAAACTTGGCCCCCTTTTCTGGCTCCCCTAAATTTGGGCCAAACAAAATTTTTGGAAATTGTCTTAAACTCCTTCTAGATCTTTACATAATTAGGCGTCGACGATGTTATATGCATAAGAGACTTGGTTGGTCATTAATTAACTTTTTCATATTACATGCAATTTACTAAGAGGAGATTTATACGCTCTCTAATACTGCCTCCATTTCGTTATACGAGTATTATTATATTGCACCCAGGTTACGTTTAAAAGTATAATAAAATGTGATAAAATATGATATAATTTATTAAATTTGTCCCTAATTCAATTGTGTTCAAATATGTGCTGTATGACAATAGCGTTTAACTATGTTAATAAATTGCTTAATTTATTCGATTAGATAAGGCCAAAAAATAGATAAGTGCTCCTGTCTTTTTTTTTTTGGACTTTAATGTCATTCTCCCATTTTTTTAATAAGTATTTTTTAATTAAAAATATCTTATATTTAACATAAATAGGGCATTTAAATAAATCATGTTGGTAAAAAAAATACTTAGACTCTCGTAATTTTATATATCCAAATGCTCCCCCCCCATCCATATTCTTTAATAATAAGTTATTTTTAAGGAAAAATTATTAGTAAGTCCTTTCTTGAGATCAAAATTGTGCTGAACTAAATTAAAGAACCAAGTATAAGTAGGTAGGCTTAAAGCGTAAATAGGCAAGCTTAGAATTTTATGGCTATCTACTTACGTCCTAAGTCTATTTGCTTACACCTTGCTCATTTAGTCCTTTAACATAATTTCATTTATAAGGAAGGACTTACTAATAATTTTTCCTATTTTTAATTAGATCACATATATTCAAAAAAGAGCCAAAAATAGCTTATATCATAAAATATGGGCACCTCTCTCAATGAAGATTTGAGTTTTGATTCAACACATTGTGAGGAATTAGTCCTTTCAATTAAACTCAACTCTTATTGGTCAATTGTCCATATTAATTACATTAAATTTTAATATTATATTAATTGCTTTAATTTCATGCCAAGGGCATAAATAAAAAAAAATCTCTTAATATGTTATATTTGGCGTATCCATATTAATATCAAATAGATAGACATCAACATTATTCTCATACTATGAACATTCTAGTCTAATTTACCTTAAATCCTGCATTCATAATCTATTAATAATAGAGTTTACTTCTCTATGATGATAACCAGATTTTTTTTTTTTTGATAAACAATAAAGTTTGATGTTCATTTTTGTATTTCAACTTTACTCAAAGAGTCACTAGACATCATAAATTTAATTATAAATTAATTTTATTCTTTAATATTAAATATTCCCTAGCTCGCCACGTTAACATTAACTCATCGTTAGTAAGCCATACATTACTTTTTTTAAATATTTTTATAATAAAATGTTAGGTTAAAAATTATTTTTACCTCTTAACTTTATCTCGAAGAGTTAGTAGGAGCCTGAATTTAAATATTTTATAATAAAAAATATTAACAAAATATGATGTGAGCCCCACTAACAATAAAGTAATGAGAAGTTAATGTTAGGATAATAAAGAAAAAAATCTTTAACGTTAATGTATATAATTGATCCATAATTAAATTTAAGATGCCTAGTGACTTTTTGAATAAAGTTGAGGAGAAAAATAACCCTTAACCCAACCAATAATTTTGTTAGTGAGTTGATTCTCAAAGCCTCATCGAGACTGATGCATACATCTAGACTCAACAAGTGCTTATAGAGAAACTTCTATACTACTTACTAATGAGATCCTTACATTAACGAGATTTGAAATTTTGACTTTATGATGTTTTGAATTATGAGTCAAATTTTTAAATAAACAAAACTTTGTTAGTATAATAATAAAATTTATTATAATATGGCAAAAGTAAACTTGTAGAATCCTTCTTTCAATGCTGTTCCGCCCGCCTCCCAAAAACATTTGCTTAAGTTCGAATGGATGATAAAAATTATGACTGTTTATTCAAACTTTCGGTGACTTAGTTAATTGTGTCATCTTGTAAACTGCAAGGCATAAACATTTTTTTTTTATCAACAAAACATAAATGATATTTTTTTGTTCCACCAGAAAAGAAGCAATTAACGGCAAAATTATTGTTGCTTGGTGCTGGATTATTAAAATTAATATGATAAGAAGAAACAAACAGGAGCTTGCTTAGTGGGCACCTAAAAGTGGGAAATCCCAACAACCTCGGAGCTCATTAACAGTTAGACTTAATGTTAATCACATGTACGGACTCTAATTAAACTCCATCTTGTTCAGTCCCACTAAGCTGGACAGAATTTTTATATTCACGAAAATTTATTTATATTATAACGTTTTAAATTGTGATATTTTTATCAATTACAAATTTTAAGTACTAGCTAGGCAGAGAATTTGCCTTTTCCTGCGGGCATCAGCTTCAAGTTAATTAATTTTTTTCCTTAAATCTTTCAGAATATATACTTTAAATTTTAACATCTACTCCCTCCTATCTTTATTATAAGACGCTTTTAACTATTTCACATATTTTAACAAAAGTTAGTTTTTATTTTGATATTATAGAAAAGTAAAATACACTTTTATTTTTATCTTTAACTTTAAATAATAATATAAGTATATTAAATACTTTCACAGTAATTAAAAAGAGATAAAATTAAAAAAATAATTTAATTATTATAAAATATCATATATTTTAAATAAAAATTACTTTTAGATGGTGTTAACGAATAGAACGGAGGGTGTATTATCTATCATTAAACTAAAATCATGATGCTGTCGTATGGAATGACGTAATCTTGCTCTAACCATATTTTATTCATAACGTACAAACATATTTTATTAATCATTTTAGCTTTTGCCTTCCACTATTTCCTTAATTTATCGCCACCCCATGGCCCGGCCCCACCTGATCTGAAAAGTGAGCTTGATTCAATGCAAAAGCAAAGTGCAATTATATAATCCTCCACACTTAAAACATCCAATAATCCATCATTTCTTTAAAGACGAGAGTCTTTGCCCATTGTATTATATTCCTGATTGATGGTTAATTACATAAAAAAATGTATAATAAGGCTCTAATGAACTCTCCACAATTATTACAAGATTTGTATATTCAAAAAAATAAAACTAACATTTTTTATTGTTCATATTTATTCTTATATTGGAGGCCGATAAGAGAATCTTGATTCGTCGTGTTATGAAGAATTAATCATTTTGTTAGATCCAATTTTCAGTATAAAAATTAATATTTTAGAAATTCTAGACTGTGTAAAAACTTGGATTATTACATGCTAATAGGCCTCCCCAACCCTTAAAACAGGTAAGCTTGTACAAAATAAAATAAAAGGGGCATATTGTAACTGTATCCTGCATGTTTGTTTAGTGAAATGAAAAATTATATTGTAGCAGCATAAGGCCATTTGCATAAATTTTAAATTTTATAGAAATTATATATTTATTCTCAAAGATTATAAAGGTTAAAATTTATGTGTCTATTGATGACTTAAAAAAAGTTTTAGTTCAATGTAATCTTATGGATTTAGCCTTCTAACTTTTACAATCAATACCCAAAATATGCGAGAATACTCCGAGAAAAATTAGAATTCAGTTTCTGCTCTCATAATTAACCACATACGTATAAATTATTTTCAAATTAAACATGACTTCCAAAGCGATCATTACATATACTGAACAAGCTATGAATGTGGAAATCAAAGTTATTTAATTAATTGAACCTAGATTTATAAATTCCACCTAACAGAATTCCAAAACCGATGAATCTATATATCTTCTTGCTATATTTCCTAGCTAGGGTTGTGTTAATTCTTTCTTAGAGGTCTCTACAGAGGACCATCTTTCCCTATGAACAACCTGATTATTCTATGTTTTTTCTTAGGGCAACTTTTTTTTATTTTTTCTTTAGCCACAAAAGTCTTATTTTCTTAATTCGCTTACCATCTTTTTCAATAGTAGCAAAATTACTCTCCGATAGCTCTAAGCAATTAATTATGAGGCCTTATAAGATAAATGAGGTTTATAAATTTAAGAGATTCTCTCATTCAACATGATAAGGATTTTAGATGAACTCTCTCTCTCTTAACTTGTAATATTGATGTTTTAATTGATATGTACATTTCGAAGTGAATGTAATATTGGTGCTTATTCACATGTCCTATTGATCAACAAGTCACAAGTCTCACAGCTTTAATTTCATAGATCACTAAGCACCGCCGCTCTATATATATAATATGAATTCACTCACATTCACTTTTCAGACTTCTATTACACCAGTAAACAGTAGTCATATTAAAGGTGTCAACTAAATATATATATATATATATATATATAACAGGTCCGATTATGGTCGGACCGAGTCTTAGTCAAAAGAAACTAAAGTAGCTTTTTTTCCTGGGAAATCGAAAATGGTGGATAACCTCGGAGGCAGCAGCTCTTCATCAATCAATGTTGTTGACAATGGTGGGATGATAAAGGAACAAGACAGGTTGTTGCCGATAGCCAATGTTGGTCGGATTATGAAGCAAATTCTTCCACAGAACGCCAAGATCTCGAAGGAAGCGAAGGAGACGATGCAGGAATGCGCGTCGGAGTTCATAAGCTTTGTCACCAGCGAGGCCTCTGATAAGTGCAGAAAGGAGAGGAGGAAGACCGTTAATGGCGACGACATATGCTGGGCCTTAAAAGCCCTAGGGTTTGATGATTATGCAGAGCCTCTTCAAAGGTACTTGTATAGATATAGAGAGCTTGAGGTAGATAATCGAGCTAATAACCCTAATCATCGTCAAGATGGAGAATTAGAACCTTGAGCTTTTGTGAAATATCAATATTCAGCTCTACTTAACTTCTCCTTTCATCAGTCTCAATATTTTTATGTAATAATATTCACTCGAGATTCTCGTCTCTCTTTATATATGTATTCATGTTACTCTTTGCAATTTGCGTGACGAATCTTGGATTAGTTTTTGACCTTGAACTAATTTCTATCATGTTTTGTGAATCTTTCTCAACTTCAAATAGAAAAGAATGACTTAATTATTAGTTTATCTACTCTTTTTGTGTTTCAGTCAATAAACTCGTGCTTGAACTTGAATCTATGGTTCTTGAGATGATGACTCTAATAACTATATATCCACAGGCCAATGACATGATCATCGAGCTCTTTGGTTGAAGTTCGATTGTTAAGGGAAAAAAACTCTTAATTCTGCAATTATCAATGGACATTCACTCTTGAAGGAAAGTTCACGGCTCTGTCGATTTCAGTTTCCTTCTTGTTTGAAAGTCTTGTTCAGTTTGATCTGAGTTTCTTAAAAAATATACGCTAAACAATCTTCCATTTGTTTTGAGAATTTAATTACCGAGATCTTCCATGAATTATACATATTTTCCTTCATTATCCAAATGTATATATCCTTCATTTTATTGTTTTCGATCAGAATGTCAAAGAGAAATTCACGACAGTATCTGGTTCAGTTTGATTTGAGTGTCTTAGAAAATCTGCTAAATCTTCCACTTCTGTATCGACAACTTGTCGAGATTTTCTCTTAATTTTCTTCATTACACTGCGTATCCTTCAAGATCGATGTTTGGAATTTGATCTTTTGCATATACTCATGAAGTTAGGATTTAGTTTCTTGGTTCATTAGTTTGATATTCTGGTGGATTCTCTTAGTTCTATTCAAAGCAGGTCTCTGTTTTGATTAATATTTCGAATTAAACCACTATTGCGGCTGTCACTAAGCAAATCGGTATCCAGTCACCTTCTAGGGTTTCTTTCACATTGTGAATTATTAATCAGATTCAAATAATTAATTAGCATCCTCGGTGATATTGAAGAGTAAATCATTATTAAAGCATCAGACCAGGGTTTTGTACTGTTAACCCATAATTTTTTAGGGTTTGTGGGGACCGCATATTATATAGTATTGTGTACTTAAATATCTGTCTGTTCTCTACATGAAACCCAAAAAAGTAAAATTGGATAGAAAATATTGGAATTTACATATGCTTTTCAAGATTCCATGTAAGATCCGATCTGCATATAACTGGGCCTTACTCTCTTAATTTTACTGATAAGAGCAGATTTCATCTGTATTGGTATCAGGTAAGATGTGGTTGCCGGATGTGGATTAGGTGAGTGATCGTTCTAAATCCACTTATTCAATTACAGCAATTAGATTTTATCAAATTTAAAAATTAGTATGATATATTTTTCTTCAAAAATTTAAAACAATCATCATCACCATTGAAATTTGATATTCTTTGAGTATTATGTGATAAAATTTCTCACAGTCTTTTGATTAAATCAAACAGTTATTATCATGTCACTTGAGGCACTAATTGAATAAGTAAAATTAACCACTCATTAAATTCAAATTCGTGTTTACTTGAATATATGTAAATGAGATATACTTTCATAGATGCTACTAGATCATCATGTCAAGTGATTATTGTTCTATTTGGTGTAGAAAGAGAAAATGAAAAATCACTCTCAAATCATACACAAGTAATTTAAATATAGAAACGTATCTTGAAATCCACAAAATTATTGTGAAATATCCCATGTTTTTTTTATTAAAATTGTCTATTAATATTGAATATAGTTATTAGTGAAGTTCTTCAGTTGACAATTAAAAAGGGCAACAATCAAGTAACTACTTTAGTAAAAAAATTACGAAATTTTAAAGTAAATTTTGTGATTGACTTCTTTTATTTAGATTGACTGTGTGAAATTTGAAAGTGATTTTTTTTAAAAGAAAATACATTGTACCTGGGCTGTCTTCTCGCTAGCTCTAAGCATACAGCTAATCTGGGATTGATAATTAGAAAGATTATTTAGGGTAACTTCTACATGGCCTAAATCACCAATTAGAGGTTCCTCCATGCTCCATGCTCCATGCATGGCCTAGCTAGACTGCTGTATGTTCTTAATTACATGTGCATGTTTCGATTAAAATCTGAAATCTCTCGGGCGGCAAAACTTAAGAACGAAAATCGTGCAGAGATCGATCAGAATCAATGATGTATTTGATTTAAGCTTATAAATTTATATCAAATTATTATATTGTTCACGATCATAATCATGTATTCAAACAGTGACCTAAAATAAACAATACAACCATGCATGATGTTGTTTTATCTAAGTTAAAACTTATAATATTGAAAAAAAAATTAAACTATCATATATAGTCGAATTTGCATAAATATAATAGCGGATCAATATGTAAATTAAATAGAAAATATCTACATAATAACTTAATAAGAGAATGTTCAAATTTTTAGTCTTATCTAAGAGAAAATGAGTCTTTTTCACTAAACCTATCCATTGTTTTTATTTTGAGATGTTGTATACAGGTGAGTTAATTACAGTTTGACCAATTCCTTTCACTTTTTAACAATATATATATATATATATATCCACAGTAATTAAATCAAAGATCCTTTAATTACACAGCTTAATCCAATATCGCCATAATCTCTTTTCAACCTATAATTTAATTATTATTACTATTGTCCTTAATTATATTATAAAAGAAGCACGGGGTAAATATTGAACAAGATGAGGGAAGAAGCATCAGGCACGAGCTTGCCAGTGATCATGTGTGAGACATGTAATTGGTTGCCCTTCAACTCATGCAACATATTGAGACTTACGTGTCTCATTCTGTGCCTCACAATTTTAACAAATATAATATCATTTCCCACCCAACACAATACTCGCTCGTATCTTCCCTTTCTTCTATTTGGCTCGGATGGCTACTGTAAGTATTTGACCTCTTTTTTTTTAAATATTTTTTATAGTAATCTCCCCTCTAATGTATTTAGAGTCGATGGTCTGTTCTCTCTCTCTCTCTCTCTATATATATATATATTTATAATTTATATAGCAAATAAAAATAAAAAATTATAAGGGTTTTATAATAGGTGAGCATGGGACTCACGTAAAAAATGAGTCATGGAAAATAGGGATCAGCATTATCTACTGGAAGCTTTGGGAAGCCAGAAACCTACGGATCTTCACTAATGATGCACCCACAGTGGAGTCTTTTCTTTTTCGGATACATGCAATTGTTAATGTTACAATTAAAGCCTTCTCTACTTTTATCTCTTTGATGTAATTTTGCTCCTTTTGCTTTCTCGCTCTGTATTTTGGTACCTCTGTACAGTTTCTTTCTTAGTTAATTCAATCCCTTTTACTAAAAAAAAATTGTGAATACAAAACTAATATTAAAAAAAATATTCTTTTCAAACCACAAATATACATCTTTTAAAAGTCTTTCTTGGGTTAAAATGTAAGGTATTAAATAATTTTTATAATTATTTTTCTAACTATTACCTTATTTTTGAAAAAAATGATACATTGAAATTTCAACTGTTATTATTAATGCATTTATATAGTATATTTAATATCACTCAAGTTCAAGCCTATTTTTAGGGCTTAAATGAATTAGGCTTAGAAGTCTTTTATACAAAAAGTTTCTCAATTTTTAAAATCCAAGCACCAAAATAGCAACCATAAATGGGTGGCACGACATGTTTGATTCATATTCTCAACTCTAAGAATGCACAAATCTCATGGGATAATAATTTTTACAATAGAATATGATGTTTCATTTTTTTAATACACACATTTAGGATAACAAATTAATTATTATATAGATAAGTGTGGTTTAAAATTTATAAGTAATTTTATTTACTTATTTCCTTTACGTTTTATCTATATTAAAATTTTTAATCTTTTACTCATTTTTAGAAATTGAACTCATTAAAATCTTTTATCCTCTCCATTCCTTTATATCACAAATAAAAGTTACTAACTTACTATCCTATGCATTGTACAGATATAAAATCTAGTTGGATTCCAAACAACACCACACGTATAAAATTTTTATCAATTCAAATGAGGTGCTAGAGGTAAAACAAATAAAATTATTATTTTTTAAATTAGATGAGTTGGATACCATGCTTACCAAAATCAGAGCATGCCTCCAATTAAATAGTGTTTGTAAATGTATTTATAAATTGTTCACTGATAAAATCCCTGTATCACCAATTATATTTCTTTTTGCTATTGAAAGAGCAACTACCAATTGAGTTTAATAGTACAATGTGATATAGTAAGATAGTAGTATAAAAAAGCTAGGAAAAATGATGTTTAGGAATCTCGCAAGGACATCAATGATAATTGAAGATGATTAAAATATTTTAAATTATTGAAATAATATGTTACTCATGAATTTAATAAAAGTTCATTGTGAATTTATAAAAAGTAATTGTAATGGATAGATGATTTCATAAATATATCATCGTTTTGAAATTTAAAGAGGATTACTTGTGAATTTTTAAAAAATTACTTATAAATATATGAAAAGTCAATTGTAAATATATGGTTAAAAACATGAAAAGGTTTCCTAAATTATTAATTTATAATTAAAACTATTCATATTTATTTGACATTCCATATAAAGGTAATATTTCTTAAATTCACAACTAACCATCCTTGAATCACAAGTTATGTATGAATTTATAAGACTCTCTATTTATTTATAATTGAAATTTCATAAATTTACTATTAACCTTTTTAATCTTGACAAGCAATTATCTTTAAATTCACAAGTGATAACACATAAATTCATAAACTTACCAATCAATTCACAATTGACTTTTATTTCATTGATTCACAAGAAACATTGCCTTCATAGATAACTTTACTTAAATTCAAGAGTCACATTCCATTGCTTATTTTAATAATTAGTTATTTTTTATTACAAAAAAAGACTATAATTCTTTCATGACAATGCATTTCAATAACTTGAGCCCTCAATTGTTATTAATGTCTTTACAAGGTCCCTAATTATCATTTTTTCAAAAAAAACTAATGGTGTATTTAAATCAATGAAGATTTGAATTTGAACTAAATTGCTCATTCGAATATACAAAAATTTATGAATTTAGATTTGATTCAAATCCAAATTCATTTCAAATTATAATTCCTTTGTAAGTTTAAATTTAATCTACATTCTAATCATTTAAAATTCTAATAAAT